GGCATGGTGGCTAATGTCTGTAGTCCCAGCTACTCAGGAGGCTGAGGCAGTAGGATTGCTTAAGCCCAGGAGTTTGAGGTTGCTGTGAGCTAGGCTGATGCCATGGCACTCTACTCCAGGCAACAGAGTGGGACTCTGTCTCAAAAAAAAAAAAAGAAAAAGATTGTTCTTATTAAAATTAATAGTTGTAACACATGTACATTTAAAAAATCCAGACCTGTAATCACAGAAATTCTTATGGTTATATATCAGAAAGACAAAACTAGTTACTTTAAAAGGCATAAATTTGTTTACATTATGAAGTGGACAGTTTTCTTAAAGATATTTTTCCTTTTTTAAATCGAATTATCCCTTTGTTTATTCAGTTCAGTTCTACAAAGTAACCATTGTAGTTTGGGCCAGCACAAGTAGCATGGTTCATCCATGTGGTAGTCCCTAGACTGACAGCTACTTCACTACACATTCTATTTTGAGGATATTATTATAGAATTCAGCAATTGATTTAAACTACAAGTTGAGCTGATTTGCTGTCTTATAATATCTCAGTGTGTAGGGGCACACTGAGTTGCCTGAAAGCAAGAAATCTTTTAAGTTACGTCCTTTTCATTAGAACATGAGTTTTGGAACTATCAAATGTTAACCATAAAAGTAACAGGTCTCACTCAAGAATGTGCACTCTGGGAGGACAAATCTCTTAAGCATTTGCTGTTTCTGTGTAAGATTTCACAGACTTTCAGACATCTTCACTTTGATAAAATGACTATGGTTATAAGCTTGAATTTGCTTAGCTCCTATGAGAAAGTTTGGAACATAAAACAATTAAATTTAATATATCATAATTTCCTTTTGTGATATAAGGACCATTGCTATCTGTTTTGATATATATCTATAGAAAAAATAAGGGAAAGAAAAATAAGAACCAGTGTAAGATCACTTTAAAGAGTCATTGTTACAACCTAACCACTGTACATGTTTCTATTTCTTTTCTGTTTTCATAAAAAGTAGTATATGGCTGGGTCTTCATGGTTTATTAACTGAACTGTTTAAAATGAAATAAATAATACATATCTCTTTATTGAGATATAATCCATGTACTATATAGTTCACCCATTTAAAGTGTACAATTCAGTGGTTTTTAGTATAATTCAGAAGTTGAATCAATCAATATTAGAACATTTTCATTACCTCAAAAAGAAACCTAATACCTATTAGCAACCACTCCCCATTACCCTTCAACATCACCCCAGCCCTGGGCAACTACCAGTCTCCTCTCTATCTCTATGGATTTGCATATTCTGGACAATTTATATAGACGGAATCATACAACACGTGGTCCTTTGTGAGTAACTTCTTTTACCTAGCGTAATGTTTTCAAAGTGTTCTTCTGTGTTATTGTAGGTATTAGCACTTCATTTATTTTTGTTGCTGAATAGTATTCCATTATGGATATAACACATTTTTTCATTCTTCAATTGATGAGCATTTTTGTTGTTTATGTTTTTTGGCTATTATGAATAAATGCTGCCATGAAAGTTTATGTACAAATTTCTGTGTGGACATTTGCTTACTTCACCCTTGATTTAGATGTGCTCTTGTTTTAAAACATTTCAAATTATAATTTTACTCTCAAATATCACTTTGCATTGCCTGAAGGTAATCCAGTGGTTATCATTGCCTAGAATATGAAGTAAACTTTGCTAATAACATCTTCCAGTTGTAAGGAATAGAGATTGATGGTAGTGGCTAAATAGATTTGATAATTGATTGACTTTTTAATATAAAGTGAATGGTCACATTTATTATATTTGAATTATTTTTGTGTGAAATAGATATTTGGTGCTTGAAAAACTGAAGAAAGAAGAAGCTGACCGAATTCATATATTTAGTTCTTTTTTCTATAAACGCCTTAATCAGAGAGAAAGGAGAAATCATGAAACAACTAATCTGTCGTAAGTCAAACTCTGAAAATATTTCAACAGATATATGTCGCTCATATTTAACTTAGTAGGAAAATCACATATTTGAAAGAAAATACGGATGTTTGCAATTCACTTACTTTTTTTTTTTTAATTCTGCAGCCAGGAAGGGAACACACCCAATCAGTCAGGTCCATTTTCATTCTTCACAGATTCATGTTATGCTACCTTAAACTATCCTTGTGCTGATTTGGGGGTATAATTTTTTTTAAAAATCACTTGTTTATATTGAGATATCATTTAATTCTATTACCAGTTTGCAAAATTAATATAATTCATAATAGTCTAATACTTTCAGAATACATAGAATTCATAAATGTTTTAGGCCAAATATCTAGATCAGTCTTTACCAAATATGACTGATAGTTTTTCCAAAAAATTACTTACTCATTAAATACAGATTACTCTGTGTTACCCTAGATGCCCATCCTTAATGTCTCAGAGAGGAACCTATGAATCTGTACTTTTAATAAGCTCTGTGGTAGATTCTTCTCAGACAAATTAAGGAAATAGTATTCTACATATTACTCCTAAGTTATTTTGTTTATAATTCTCCTCCATGTAAGTGATGGCATCTGGTTCTGATACTTGCTGATAATTGGTAAAAAGATAACACTTAAGAGTTGGTACATTTTTCATAACTACTGTTAAATGTCTTGAATTGATGGCTGCTGTGCATTATATGAATAATAATTTCTTCTACTTCAGCAATTCCTAATTTTGCATCTTAGGTTGATGGTAATCATTGATTATGACCAGTGCTCATAGTCTATACTGTTCCATCTACCATCAGATAATGCTTACTTTTCCTACTATCTTCTCCCCAGTTACCATAAGTCATGCTGTGATACACCTCTCAATATAGTTGGTAGTACCAGTTCTGCAGTAATAAAAATAGTAGAGAAGTCCAGGCAAGATAAGCACTAGAACCCTTCAGATGTAGTAGCAGGAGTTAAATATCTCTTTCCTCCAGCTTCAATGATGAGGAGTCCCATGCCTTCTTAGTTCCTATCTAAGATGCTCTGTTTTCTTTCTCCAACTTGTCAAACCATTTTATACAACCGTTACATCTGAATCTTCATAATTTATACATCACTGCATATAAGCTGAAGCATTGGAGATATTTCAGAAGCTTATAGTTTGTCTCTCTCTTACAGCATACAGCAAAAACGACATGGGAGAGTAAAAACATGGACCCGGCATGTAGATATTTTTGAGAAGGATTTTATTTTTGTACCCCTTAATGAAGCGTGAGTAAGAATTTCCTTTATGTAAACGTGATGGCAATTTTTTTTAATGTACTTATGAAGTAAAGAATTCATCCATTTTAAAACTTTCTGAAATTTGTTGTGTATATTCATATTTGTACTGCCTATTTTATGAAAATTAACGCAGCTTCCCAGTGAATCACGTAAGATGTTGAAGTTTGCAAACACTAAATAAACTATTAATAGATACTTTTCTAATTTCATTTTATTGGTCAGTGTGAAATAATGTCATTTAAAAAAAAAAACCAGTGGTGCTTATGATCTAGCAAATATCCTATAGAAAAGATTACTTTATATAAAAAATGATTAGATTACATAGAGGAATTTGAATATTTGTTTATTTGTTAATGAATGACAGGGTCTTGCTCTGTTGCCCAGGCTAGAATGCAAAAAACAATTTGCTCTATACAGTGATCAAACTCTGTTTATTTAAAATCATATTTTAATCATGAAACTTGTGCTCTCTAATTAGCCTAATCAGAGGTAGGCTAGGTCAAACCATTGGTTATATCTATAAAGCACAACTTCTTCAAAGCTATATTTTTTTTTTTTTTTTTTTTTTTTTTTTTTTTTTTTT